ACCAGAGAAGCTAGTAAACAAGGAAGACCCTAAGAGAGACATACTTGGTCCCCTGGAGAAGGGAAAAGGGTCAAGATCCCCTGAGTAAATTGAGAGCACAGGAAGAGGGGGGAGGGAGCTACAAGAATGAGAAGGGAAGAAGAGGAAGGATTCAGTGGACATGAGGGAGCAGAAAGTTTGAGTCAGGGGAAGAATAAAAGAAAGGGTATGTGATAGGTGGGATTTTAGTTAGGGGGATGGTAGGGGAGGGCGGGAGGGAGAAGAGAACTGGGATTGTCATGTAAATCAATCTTTTTTTCTAATTCAAATAAGAAATGATAAAAAATAAAGTTCAAAGAATAAGCAAAAACCATAAACCAGTCTAATTCTTTGCACTGACAACATTATAAGGCAAGGGTGACTCAAGAACAGAAACCAGATTCACACAGATGCTTAAAAATGTGCTTTTTTTCAGAGCTCAGACAGTAGTTAATGCTCTCTATGTTTGGGGGATGACATTTAGCTTTTCATCTCTAAATGGGACACAATATTGAAAATTTCCATGTATAATAAGGAGACAAAAAGAATTTCCACAAAGGGTTTTTGTCATGATGAAGTTAAATAAGGTAATGTCTATGCCTAGAATCCTCTCATCACTCAGTACATGTTATCTGTATTTTCTGCAAAGTGTGGGAAGGGTAGTAAGAAAAGAATTTGAAAGTTGGAAACAGAACTAACATGAGAACTGAAAAATAGTGTCAACCTAGGTAAAGTACTTGAGATTTTTCAATACTATGTTATTTCTTTTGTAGCATAAAATATTTCTTGTTCCTGTAGAGCAGTTGCCAGGAATTAGCAGTTTAATGATTAATGGAAACTTTGTTACATTTTGCAACATACCCAGGTCAGAAATTGAGCAAAGGCATACTGTAAGTTTCACAGCATCTTCCTGGAATTCCCATTAGGTTCTGTTTGACCGTGTTCTCAGTTCTTAGAAGATGTACTTGGAACACAACTGCCTTCAAGTCTATTCCAGTCATGGGAAGAAGTCCCTTTCTTGCCAGCTGTAATACAAAGAACTTGGCTAATTAATGGCGTGTGGAGGTGACAGAAAGAACACACAGAAATCACTCACATACTCTGCTACCTAATTTTCCATCCAATTCAAGGGAACCAGAAGGCTCTCCTTTGTCAGTCTTCTAAGGAAGGGTTTTAGATGAGCCCTGCCAATCATGGTGACATGGCATCAAATTGATTTATGATGAGAGCCAATCACCTAAAGACAGCTTAAAGCAGAGATCAGAATACTCTGAGCTTTGCAGATGACCAAGGAGCAGATATTGTTGATCATCCATGATGAATTAATAGAAGTAAATGCATCTGTCATAGAGCAATGATCAACATTATCAAGAAACTGGTTAGAGTTTGAGAAGGGATTTCTCAGAGGTCTGGAGTTCCAGCATTTAATTGTGGGAACTCATATCTCCCATGATAGGAAAAGGGACAGAGGTCAGTTTGGAAGTAAAAGAAGAAACAGGGCTTTAGGGCTGGGTCTTTAAAATTCTTGACCAATTAGCTCAAATTATTCAAGGTTGGGACTGGTGTGAAGCAGAAGATGGGAAAAAAGATGTCAAAGTTGTAAGTCAGAGATGTTATCAAGTTACTAGAGCAGAGAGAAATTTAAACAAAGGAAATTGTATCCTAGCATCTAAACTGATTTTGTTTATTCCTAATACATGTTAAGCCAACGAGGAAACCTAGCTTCAGGGAAACCAGGACAGAATATGTGGTCAACCTTAGGAATGAGAAGGAATGACGTTTTAATGAGACGGGAAAATCTGACTAGAAAGGCAAAGGAAAAAAATATAAATACCATGAAAATTATGCCTTCTATCATAGATAGTAGTAAAAGAAAGGGAGAGAGGTGTGATGTTCGTGAGAGTTAGGGAGAAGCCATGGAAGTGTGAGGCAAGTTGCAGGAGATGGGGATGTTGGCACGATCATTCTGTCAAGGTTTGAAGACATTAAATTTATCTGCAGGGGTGACTTCTCTGCTGTCTCTACCCCACCCGCCCCCCTACCCACGCAATGTGGCACATTTGCCAACATATCATGCATTGTCTTCATTACTTTGTGAACACCTTAAGCACAAATCATGGACAAAATCTCAATGCTGACTCTCCAGACATGAAGACAGTGTGTAGGACAATAATAGGTAACTAAAAGTGATGGTTTAAGTGAAGACAAAAGCATACACAAACATGGTTCATCATAGAATTATGGGCAATAAGACTATAGGCTATGGGAATGTATGGCTTCTCTCATGTAACCGAAAGTGTGTTCATCCTGATAGAAATTACTAAAGAAATGACTCCAACACAGTCCAACTAGTGAATCAATGAGCGTACTGGGATTTCTTGCAGGAATACAGATAACCCAAAGGCAGCTTCACCACTGGAGAGACCATCACAGTATGGTGTCATGCATTGTTTTAGCACCTGTGCAAATTGCAGACAACTGTCCCAGAATGCATCCCCCCTTTGTTGGTTACTTACTGTCTTAATCTGATCTTTGGGAAAAGACTTGTGAACCTTGCAGTGTTTTCATGATTTTTTTTTTTATAGTTTCCCAAGCCTATGAGCCTTCCTTTTTCCAGGAGGGATAACATAGCTGCCAGTAGATAATGAGAAATGATTGGTACCTGAAACAGCCTACAATAAAGGGATGGAGAATCTTTGCAATTCCTAAATGAGTAATATATGGATATTAGGTACCAAAATATTGAAAAAGAAAAAATTACTAATACGTCACAAAGCAACTGATTATTCTTTTTTTTTTTAAATCAGTATGGTGCTCACTTTGGCGGCACATATACTAAAATTGGAACACTACAGACAAGATTAGCATGGCCCTTGTGCAAGGATGACATGCAAATTCGTGAAGCATTCCATATTTTTGAGCAGGATGAGAGATATAATAACAGAGGGATCCATTATAGTTCCAAGGAGAGATCTGACACTAGGGAGATTTCCAGAGATCTACAAGGATGATACCAACTGACAATCTAGGCAGTGTTGGAGAGGCCACCCTAAATGCCCTTCCCCTATAATGAGACTGATGACTACTTTATATGCCATCCTAGAGCCCTCATCCAGTGGCTGATGGAAGCAGAGGCAGACATCCATAGCTATACACTGAACTGAACTCTGGAATCCAGTTGCAGAAAGGGAGAAATGAAGATCAGGGGGGTGGAGACAAAGCTGGTGAATCCCTCAGAAACAGCTGACCTGAACAAGTGAGAGCACACAGACCCCCAGACTGCTGCCTGGGAGGCCATCACGCGACTGATCAAGACCCCTGAACATGGATGTCAATGAGGAGGCCTCGACACCCTATGGGACCTCTGGTAGTGGATCAGTATTTTTCCCTGGTGTAAGAAGGGACTTCGTTCCATCGGCCTGACCACAACTGAGGCAGAGAGAAGCTCTCTGAATCTGGAAACACCTCACTCTTCTTTCCCCTCCTCCACAGGCCTGACCCATACCGAGCTGAGTGTATCCTCTGCTCCTGCCCTAGTCCTACCCAACTTCCCATTCACCCCAGAGATCTCTGGGCCTGCTCCTGCTTAGAATGTACCTGCCCAGGCAGGGAGGAGCACCCTGATTCTGGAAACAGCTCACTCTTCTTTCCCATTTCTGAAACCGGCCTGACTGACCCTTACCTAGAGTAAGGAGAGGCAAGACCATCCTGAGATGAAGAAATTGAAGTCTTGGCCCACACACACCACTGGGTGACAAGAGGAGACAGAGATACCCCACATGCACCCACTGGAAGAAGACATGGGAAGAAGGCTAAGTAAGAACACACTCAACAACAGAAAGACCAATATGGCACCACCAGAATCCAGGGACTCCATACCAGCAAGATCTGAAAAGCCCAACACAGAAGATGAAGAAGAGATGGGCCTCAAAAATTATCTTAGGAAGATGATAGAGACCTTTAAAGAGGAAACAAGAAAATTCCTTAAAGAAATAGTAGAAAAAAACAAGCAAAAATTTACATGAAGTGGAGGAAAAGACAAACCAAAAAATTCACGAAATAAACAAATCTCTTAAAGAATCTAAAGACAGCCAAGAAAAAAAAAAACTAAAAAAGTGAAGGAAGCACTTGAAACAGTTCAAGTCATGAAAGCTGAAATAGAAACAATAAAGAAAACACAGAATGAGGCAATGCTGGAAATAGAAACACAGGATAAACGATCAGGAACTAAAGATGTGAGTATAACCAATAGGATTCAAGATATGGAAGAGAGAATCTCAGTTGTTGAAGAGTCTCTAGAGGATATACAGTCATCTAGCAAAGAAAATCTCAAGTCCAACAAATCCCTAACACAAAATATCCAGGAAATATGGGACACCATGAAAAGGCCAAACCTAAGAATAATAGTATAGAAGATGGTGAAGAAATACAGATCAAAGGTACAGAAAACATATTCAACAAAATCATAGAAGAAAACTTCCCCAACCTACAGAAGGATATGCCTATGAAAGTACAAGAAGCTTACAGAACACCAAATAGACTGAACCACAAAAAGAAGTCCCCTGGACACATAATAATCAAAACACCAAACCTACAGAATAAAGAGGAAATATTAAGAGCAGGAAAGGAAAAAGGCAAAGTAACGTATAAAGGTATACCTATCAGAATCATTCCCAACTTCTCAATGGAAACTTTGAAAGCCAAAAGGTCTTGGATAGATATCCCACAAACACTAAAGGAACAAGGATGGCAACCCAGACTACTGTACCCAAAAAAACTTTCAATCACTATAGATGGAGAAAACAAGATATTCCATGACAAAACCAGACTTAAACAATACATATCCACAAATCCAGCACTACAGAAAGTTCTGGAAGGAAAACTCCAACCCAATGAAGATAACTACACTCACAAAAACATAGGCAATAGATAATCAAATTTTACCAAACACGAAAAGAAACAGGAGGGAAAAATACACAAACAATAACATCACCAACAATAAATGCAAAACAAACAAGTATCAACAATCAATGGTCATTAATATACCTCAATGTCAATGGTATTAACTTGCCTATAAAAAGACACAGGTTAACAGAATGGATACAAAGTCAGAATCCATCCTTCTACTACATACAATAAACACATCTCAAAGTCAAAGACAGACATTATATCAGAATAAAAGGTTGGGAAAAGTTTTTTCAATCAAATGGGCCCAAGAAACAAGCTGGTGTAGTAATCCTAATATCTAAAAATTAGACTTCAAACTAAAATCAATCGAAAGAGTTGAAGAAGGGCATTTCATACTCATCACAGGTAAAGTCCATCAAGATGAAGTCTCAATCCTAAACATCTATGCTCCAAATATGAAGGTTGCACCCACATTTGTAAAAGAAACATTACTAAATCTCAAACTACGCATAAAACCACACACACTTATAATAGGAGACTTCAACACCCTGCTTTTACCACTAGACAGCGCAACCAGTCAGAAACTTAACAAACAAACAAAGGATCTAACAGAAGTTATGACCCAATTGGGTTTAACAGATATTTATAGAACATTCCATCCAAACACAAAAGAATATACCTTCTTCTCAGTGCCACATGGAACCTTCTCTAAAATTGACCACATAGTTGGCAGCAAAGCAAACCTCCACAGATACAAAAGAATTAAACAACCCCCTGTAACTTATCAGATCACCATGCTTTAATACGAGAATTCAACAGCAATACAAATTGCAGAAAACCTACACTTGTGGAAATTGAATAACACCCAATTGCACCATTCCTGGGTTGAGGAAGAAATAAAAAAAGAAATTAAAGACTTTCAAGAATTTAATGAGTATGTAGACACAACATACCCAAACTATGGGACACTTTGAAAGCAGTGCTAAGAGGAAAGTTCATAACATTAAGTGCCCACATGAAGAAACTGGGAATAGTCACACTAAAGAATTGACAGAACAACTGAAAGCTTTAGAGCAAAAAGAAGCAAACACACCATGGAGGAGTAGACGCCAGGAAATATTCAAACTGAGGGCTGAAATAAATAAAGTAGAAGCTAGGAAAACATAATGAAGAATCAATGAAATAAAGAGTTGGTTCTTTCAGAAGATCAACAAGATAGACAAACTTCTATCCAAGCTAACCAAAAGGCAAAGAGAGAGCACACTAAATAACAAAATCAGAAAGGAAAAGGGAGAAACAACAATGGACAAAGGGGAAAGAGGACAATTTTCTGGATAGATATCACTTACCAAAATTAAGCCAAGAAGAGATAAGCAGTTTAAATCGACCTGTAACCCCTAATGAAATAGAAGCTATCATCAAAAGCCTCCCAACCAAAAAAAAAAAAAAAAAAGCCCAGGGCCAGATGGCTTCACTGCAGAATTCTACCAGAAATTCAAACAAGATCTAATATCAGTACTCCTCAAATTGTTCCACACAATAGAAGCAGAAGGGACATTGAGAAACTCTTTTTACCAGGCTACAATCACTTTGAAAACCAAGCCACACAAAGATACAACTAAAAAAGAGAACTAGAGACCAATATCCCTCATGAACACCGATGCAAATATACTCAACAAAATATTGGTGAATAGAATCCAAGAACACATCAGAAAAAGCATCCACTATGATCAAGTAGGCTTCATCCCTACTTGGGATGCAAGGATGGTTCAACATACGAAAATCCATCAATGTAATCCACCACATAAATGAACTGAAAAGAAAAACCACATGATAATCTCAGTAGATGCTGAAAAAGCCTTTGACAAAATCCAGCATCCCTTCATGATAAAAGTCTTGGGGAGATCAGGGATAAAAGTGACATACTTAAACAAAATAAAATCAATATACAGCAAGCCAATGGCAAGCATCAAATTAAATGGATAGAAATTCAAAGCAATTCCAGTAAAATCAAGAACAACGTTGCCAAAAAAGTACAAGACCTGTACAATAAGAACTTTGAGTGTTTAAAAGAAGAAGTTAAAGAAGATACCAGAAAATGGAAAGATCTCCCATGCCCTTTGATAGGTAGAATTAACATAATAAAAATGGCAATCTTGCCAAAAGTAATCTACAGATTCAACTCAATCCCCATCAAAATTCCTACACAGTTCTTCACAAACCTTGAAAGAACAATACCCAACTTTATATGGAAAAACAAAAAACCCAGGATAGCCAAAACAACTCTGTACAATAAAGGGTCTTCTGGAGGCGCACCATCCCTGACTTCAAGATCTATTATAGAGCCATAATCCTGAAAACAGCTTGGTATTGGCACAAAAATAGACAGATAGACCAATGGAATTGAATTGAAAACCCTGATATTAACCCAAACACCTACAAACACCTACAAACACCTACAAACACAAAGATGCTAAATCTATATAAAGGACAAAAGATAGCATCTTCAACAAATGGTGCTGGCACAACTGGATTTGGACATGCAGAAGATTGCAGATAGATCCATATCTGTCACTATGCACAAAATTTTAAGTGTAAACGGATCAAAATCTCAACATAAATCTAGCCACATTGAACATTCTAGAAGAGAAAGTGGGAGATACCCTTGAATGAAACGGCAGAGGAGACCACTTCCTTAACATTACACCAGTAGCACAGACATTGAGATAGGCAATTAATAAATGGGACCTCCTGAAACTGAAAAGCTTCTCTAAAGCATAGGACACAGTCAGTAAGACAAATCGACAGCCCACAGACTGGGAAAAGATATTTCCAAACCCCACATCTGACAGAGGGCTGATTTCCAATATATACAATGAACTCAAGAAGCTAGCCACCAAAACACCAAACAATTAAATTAAAAGTGGGGTGCAGAACTAAATAGAGAATTCTCAACAGAGGAATCTGAATTGGCTGAAACACTTAAGAAAGTGCTCAAAATTCTTGGGCA